CCTGGACAGGTGGCCCCCTTAAGTGAGTTTGCTAAGTGGAGGTTGGCAGAGGGCACCAGGAAGGTCAAGCCTCATCTGCTGACCCACAGGGGTTGGCACCATGGTACCACTGCCGAAGCCTGGTCCTGAGTCAGACGGAGCAGTGGGAGCGAGGGTGCCACAGGTTCTTTCTTTGTGAAATGGGAATCATAATAATACCCACCTCACATTGGTTGTGGGGAGTGAATGAGTTAATATACACGTAGGACTTAGAACAGTGCCTGGTATGTCTGTTGGCAGTAAGCTCTGAGGGTCCAGAGGATACCAGCATCTTTTTTTTTTTAACTTTTTATTAAAAAATTTTTTTTTCAACCCTACAGAAAAGTTGTAAGAATGGTGCAAGGAACTCCCTTCTAAAAGCCTTATTGTTGGAAAGCCTGGGTGGCTCAGTTGGTGAAGCGTCTCTCTTCAGCTCAAGTCATGATCCCAGGGTGCTGGGATTGAGTCCTGTACCAGGCTCTTTGCTCAACGGGGAGTCTGCTTCTCCCTCTGCCTGCCGCTCCCCCTGCTTGTGCTCGCTCGCTCTTTGTCTCTGACAAATAGATAAAATCTTAAAAAAGAAAAAAAGCCCTATTGTTGATGTTTTGCTACATTTGCCTTTTCTTTCTCCACATATACATATGATATTTTGTTACTACTGTTATTACTGAAAAGTAAGTGGCAGACACTCTAACCCTTCCTTGCTAAGCACGTCAGTGTGTATTTCCTAGGAACCAGAGTAAAGTGATCGATTTGGAAATTTCACATTTATACAAAGCTTGTTCGTCATGTCGAGACCATTATTACATTTTACTAGTTGTTCTAATATCATCTTTCCAACAGGATTCCCCTCCCTTGTCCACAATCCGGTCCTTTAATGCAGAACAGTCCTTCTGTCTTTCTTTGTTTTCTCCAACTTTGACCCTTTTGAAGGGTTGTAAAGCTCACGTGTTTTGTAGAATGTGCCTAGATTGGGGCTGGCTGACACTTCCTCATGATCAGATTCAGATCACGCATCTTTGGCCGGAATAGCACGGCACATCCCTCTGGAGGCACTTGATGTCGGTGTGTCCCATTCAGAGTGATGTTAACTCTGGTCACCTGGTCCCTTTGTCATTAATAAATAATCTATGGGGAAATAGTTTTGAGACTGTGTGTGGGCACCTGTTCCCCAACATATTTTTACCTGTTGGTTTGAGCATTTTTTGGGCATTGACACTTGACCAAAATTCTCATGAGGTTCACTTGCAGGTCAGCATCTTGATTTGGCATTTAGGTAGACACCAACGTTTGCTTTTGCCTGCTAATGAGAAACTTAGCATTGGGAAGCATTGATTTTTATCTGAGAGACTTTATTCAACGTTGGCTCAAAATTGCCCTTCCTGGTTTTAATGTCTAAAAGGCCAGATTCATTTATCCACTTGTTCAGTATTTGCTGAGTGCCTACTGTAGGCCAAGTGCCGTTCCAGGTGCTGGGGATAAAATGATTTAAAACCTTTTTTTTTTTAATTTTTATTTATTTATTTGAGAGAGAGTGCAGGAGCAGGGGTGGGGGGCAGAGGGAGAAGCAGACTCCCTGCCGAGCAGGGAGCCTGATGCAGGGCTCAATCCCAGGACCCTGAGATCATGACCTGAGCCGAATGCAGATGCTTAACCAACTGAGCCACCCAGGTGCCCCTAAACTATTTAAAGGCAGAGAGAAACCCCTGTCCTCTTGGAAGGTACATTCTAATGGGGGAATCAGGCAATAAATCTGTACTGTATTGTCAGGTAGGGAGGAGTGAGGAAAAAGCAAGCCGGCAAGCAAGACAGGCAGCGACACAGTACGGGGAGCTTCTTAAGCCGGGCTGCTGGAGAGCTCTCCCATTGACTCAGGTCAGGAGGCCTGCCTGGCAGTGGGAGCAGCTGGTCAGAGATCTAGAGATGGGATATGCGTTAGTGGGACTGTAAGGAGGTCCGTGTGGCTTGGGCAGAGACATCAAGGAGGAGATGATAGTAAATGACATTGGAGAGAGGGCTGGGGCGGGGTGGCCGAGGGCTGTGTCAACCATGACAGGAAGCCAGGGGAGTGGTCCAGGTTTGAGGGGTGCAGCCCCTCAGGAGGCACGGAAGCCAGCCCTCACCCCTGATGCCAGCGTGTGAGGCTGGCCCGCCCCTGCCCTGGGCTTCTGGGGGTTGTCTGACAGAGACCAGACGCCAAGGGGTAGATTGACTTTGAGGGGGCCCGGGGTCCACCAGTGGGACTTCTGCATCCAGGCCGGAGTTTCTCAGAAAAGGAAGAAAGATAGCAGGAAGTGAGCAGTTGGAAACTGCGTTGTTGTGTTTTCCCTCCCGCTGAGAGGGAAGGCAGGAGGGGGCTGGCTTGGGGAGGCCCCTGCTTCCCAGCACCCTGGGTGGCTGGGCAGTCTTTGACAAGCCTTGGCAGACAGGGGCATGCTCGCGAGCCCAGTGGCTTTCTGATCTGGAACAGCCAGGGAGTGGCAGGCCGTGGGCCCAGGGCTGTGTGTTCTTGGCCAGTGGGACAGGCTGTTCTCCAACTGCCTTTGTCCCCGGCCATCTCCCCCATACTGAGGGAACACCGTCACTCACAGCTTTACCAGCCCGGGCTACCAAAGTAACCGCAAACACAACAACAAGGAGAGCTAGCATCTGAAGAGCACTTTTCTGTGTGGGGGCACTTTCTAAAGGCTTCCCATCTGCTGCTTACTGACTTCTCATAACAACGTCCCTGTCACGTAACTGTGAAGTGCGGATTGGAACCCAGGCTCACTGGCGCCAGAATCTCTGTTCTTCTCTGCCAAGCTACACTCGGATAAGGGATCTATCTAGAGCCCACTACGAGAGTCAAGGAGATGCCATTCGGTCTGTTGGTGGCATTCTCTTGCCTCTTGAGTACTTGGTGTACTTGAGCCTGTCACGCCTGGCTCTTAGGGAGTGTTGGGAGTGAGGAGGATCTATTTGCTACTGCCCAGAGCGTTGGGAGGAGGCCTCTGTGCCTCCCTTTCAGGGTCAGATCCAGAGATTCCCAGGAAGTGGGATAACAAGGTACCTCCCGTGGTCCAGATGACATGTTTTATTTAATGTTGATGACAATTCCATGGGGCAGATTTTATGACCACTCTTGAACAGATGCGGAAACAGGAACTCTGAGAGATTATATGCCCAAGGTCACACAGTCAGGAAGGGGAGAGCAGCTTGTCAGCTCAGGTCCAGGGCCTGTTTCTTTGCGCTGAGCTGCTTTGCCTCCCAGAGCCGATGGACCAGGGCCTTTGATCCTTACCAGAAGTCATGTGCTTGGTGTAGCACCTCGGGCCTTCTCCACTGGGCTGTTGGAGTAATATGGGGCCGGCAGGCAGGTGGTGGAAGAGCACCAGCTTTAGGGTAAGGAGAGTCCAGGTCCAGTGTTGCCTCTGCCACATCTCACGGCATGACATCAGGTGAGTCCTGACCCCTGTGAACCCTTTCATTCACCTGAGAAATGGGGATTTGAGTCACCTACCTCCTTAGACCAAGTACGAAAGTAGAGGTGGGTGTATCTTGGCTGGGCCTGCAGGTATGTAGGTGAGTGTGGGAGTTTCCTGGTGTGTTAAAATGTACCCGCTGGTCTTTCCTCGGGTTTCCCTGGGAGAGCTCTCTGAATCGAGGGTAAGGGAGTCAGGGAGGACATGGGCCTTCTGAGAAGCGTCCCGACTGATTTTAGAATACCATTTTCCTGGGCGCCTGGGTGGCTCAGTCGTTAAGCGTCTGCCTTTGGCTCAGGTCATGATCCCAGAGTCCTGGGATCGAGTCCCACATCGGGCTCCCTGCTCAGCGGGAAGCCTGCTTCTCCCTCTCCCACTCCCCCTGCTTGTGTTCCCTCTCTCGCTGTGTCTGTCTCTGTCAAATAAATAAATAAAATCTTCAAAAAAAAAAAAAAGAATACCATTTTCGTTTCCTGCCCTTAACATCTATATTGAAGCACTACATATAAATGATAACAGTTGTAGCAGATGTTATTAGAAATAGGGAAAAGGATTTAACCAAAACCAGGTGGTGTTGGAGTGGGACTCTAGCCTAGAGTCTGTTTGGGAAAACGACAAGATTTCCTGCTGATGAAAATAGCGGTTCTCAACTGGGGGCGATTTCGTCCCTCAGGGGACACTTGGCAATGTCTGGAAGCATTTTTGGTTGTCACAGATGGAAAGAGGTTTTACTAACATCCCAGCAGAAGCCTGCAGTCCTGCTAAACATCCTGCAATGCACAGGACAGCCCCTCCAACCAAGAAGTATCTGGGCCAAAATGTCAGTGGTGCCAAGGTTGAGACAGGCCGATTAAAAATAGCCAGCACTGACATTGTATTTACTTTGTGTCAGACATTGTTCTAAGTGCTTCACAGGTATTAACTTGTTTAATCCTCCCAACTCTGGGGCATAGGAGCTATTATTATCCTCAGTTGACAGATGGGGAAGTCGGGGCTTGGAAAGGTTAAATAACTGGGCCGGGGTCAGGGTGCCAAGGAAGGAACAGGCAGAGCCAGGACTCGAACAGACACGGTCCAGCTCCAGAGTCCGTGCCTTTATCCACTGTGCTATGCGCTACTGCTTTGCAGGAGGGGAGGCCACTTACCTTTAAGTCAGATTTTCATCTTTGGGTCCAGAAAGCCACATACCAAGAAATTTGCTATGTAACAAGTGTCCAAAACCTTTCATTCCTGTGCCGAGAACATAAAGGGGGGAGGGTGGCGAGGGGGGCCCAGTGACCCGCCAGGGAAAACCCTATGACTTCCAGATGCTGAGTATAGTTCACCTCATGAGCTGACCAGCATGAGGCGCCTAATGGGAGTGGATTCCGGTTGACTCTAACCTCTTAGTCTTTGGCTCCTCTCATTAGGGAATCAGAGATGGGGTTGGGGTCACCACTCTGTGCTGGGGACCAGAGTGTGACAGGCCTGTGCAGAGAGTGCACCTCACTTTGCAGTCGCGGGCTGTGTTTGTCATTGCAGACGTGAAGACAACCGTGGTTTACCCTGCCACAGAGAAGCACCTGCAAAAGTACCTGCGCCAGGACCTCCACCTGGTGCGAGAGACGGGAAGCGATTACAAGAACATCACCTTACCCCACCTGGAGTCCCAGAGCCTCAGCATCCAGGTGACTGGTCCAGGGGATACAGACACGGAGTGCTCCCTATGGCTGGTGGATCTCTCTCAAGGCTTTGTCAGGGGCCAGCACCGTCCCACAGGTTGGGGTCGGGCAGAGAGCACAGTGGAAAACCGGCCCTCCTGGGGCTCTGGTGCAGGGGTCAGCACACGAATGCAGATGTAACTGCACAAGACGGGAGAGACTGAGTGGCACAGGGAGTTCTGGGCTGAGATGGTCACTCTTTTATCCAGGATGGTCAGAGAGGCTTCACTGAGAAGGAAATTGACCCTGATCTTGAGCATTCACTGAGGCTCTGTGGGACTCTCAGAGCAGCCTCCAGGCCTTTGAAGAATTTGTGTCTCTAGCAGCACTGATAACCGTCTCAGAAGGGCTCTGCCCTCACCTGGGTCTGTGAATGGGTCAAGACCAATGCCAGGGTCGTCCCCCAACCCCAGTTGAGACTTTTATTCCCAGTTCCACCTCTGGGAGTCGAGGCCCAGAGTAGAAACTTCATTCACCCATTCCCCTTGCATTCGCTCCCCAGAGGGCAGGATCCCAATGGCCGCAGTGGCTCAGTGCAGGACCTCTTCTCTCAGGGGCTAATGTGAGGTTCGGCAGCATCTTCAGCTACTAGGCCAGATGCAAGGCCATTTAGCTCAGAGATCCCGACTTCTCTTTGGGCCGAGGCCCAGTGCCAACCAGAGCCTGGAATTGGCCCCGAGTGAATGCTCAGCATTAAATATGATGGATGAGGCATTTCCTTGCTCACTTACTGGCTCTCACCATCTCTGTCTCTCCATCACTCCCCCTTGTTCTCTTTGAGCGCTTCTCACCCCACTACCCAGGATTCAGGTCAGTGGCGGGCGCTCACATACAGGACACTAGGCGCCATTTCTCCCAGGCCAGAGAAGGGAGGGGGCCTTGGGTAGGGGGGCCCTGCCAGATAACTTGCACGTGGGAGAAGCAAGGGAGGGGTGGTTGGTGGGCGTGCAGGAGGCCCTGTGTGCCGACAGCCCGCTTTCCCATAGGGAACGACCCTGCCGGCCCTTAGCCCTGGCCCCCCTGTGCCGTGTTTGCACCAGTTCCTCTGGCTCAAGCTGGCTTGATTTTTTTTTTTTTTTTTTAAGTCCCTGCACTTGCTCTGTCTTCTAAGTGGAAAGGAGATATGCCTCCATTTTCTTAGATATAGCTGCAGCTCTCCAGGGTCCTAGAGGGATCTTCTGGAATTATGTTCTGTGGCACCTATTACACAAATAGGGAATCCAAAAGAGGAAGCTCTTAAAGTTGGTGTGAGTAGTATGTGTATCTTCTTATACACCACTGTCTAGTTCCTCTTGGAAAATAATACAAAATTCTACTACTCTACGGAATTCTGTTCGACACAAGCATTCGTGTGTTTTTGTTTTTTTGGGGTTTTTTTTTTGACTACTTCTAGTTAAGTTTACAAGGCTCAACTGACAGCAATTGTTACATTTACTGAGCATCTACTGTGTCCCAGGCCATTTGCTAGGGTCACCAAGGTAAACACTTGTAATGCCCCCAGAGTCCTGTAGGGAAGACAGACATGGGTCTTCTGACCAGTGCAATATGATGGGATACTATCCCATGGGTGATTTGTATATGAGGTTCAGTGGTGACACGAAGGGGGGTGATCAGCTCAGATAGTGGGGGACTTCACAGAGGAAGGGATCGGCCAGTTGGGTTTTCAGGAGCAAAGAGAAGTTTGCCAGGTGGACAAGTCAGAGAATGGCATTCCAGGCAGAGGCAAGAGCAAGTGCAGAGGCACAGAGGTCCGGAGGATTGACCGGAGACAACAGGAGAAGGCAGGCAGGGTCCAGGAGCAGGTGGGGTGCACCTTGTTGGGAGACTAGGAGCTCCCAAACCTTGCTGATCGTCAGGATTGCCTGGGGAGATTTTTAAAAATACAGAGCATGGGCCCTACTCCCTATCTCCTAAATCAGAATGTTCAGGGAGTGGAGCTGGGAAGTCTTTTTTTTTTTTTTTTTAAATCTCTGTTTCTAATGATCATCAGATTTCAGAACTGTTGCCATAGGCACTGAGGGTCCCCTAAACGGTTTTAAGCATATGGGTTCCGTGAGATTTAAAGAATTGTTGGAGTCTGGTGAATGTGGGAGCGGGAAGGCTCTAAGGGCCAGCGCGGGTCTGGACTGAGGCCAAAGCAGTGCGGAAGGCTGCAGCAGTGATTTGAGAAGCAGGGCTCAAAGGTGGCGGATTTGGAGAGGCAAGTGAAGAGTAGGTGGTGGGATCTTCAACCAGGTCGGGGGACGCGGACAGTGGAGAGGGTTTATGTGGCAGACAGTTTAGTTTGGGGCTTGTGAGCACTCACCGGGTGCCAGGGATGGTGCCAGCCTTCTATGAGGTGTGCATCACCTCACTGAATCTTCTCAGCAGCTCTTTGGAGATGGGATTCACGGCCAGGCAGTGTCAGCCCAGCGCCTGCGCTATCAGCCGACAACCCTATTTGGCTCCTCAAATTTGAGGTGCTTGTAACTCCTCAGTAAATAATGCCGTCGGACCTCTGGGTCCCAACCGTTAGGGACCATCAGGCTAAACCTGCTGGTCTGTGAGTCATCAGGCTGAGGTTCAGTGTCAGCCCAGGATTTGGATTCTGCTTCTGCTGTCTCAGAGCAGTGAGTGCCCTGCACTTCTGAGCCCAGCTCCTTGTCTGGAAAATGTGACTGGGGTTCCAGTGGGGATTGAGAGAGGCGCCACAGATCATATCCCTGTTGTTGATCGCAGCACTCACTAGACGCCAGAATGGTCGCTGCCCTCGTGTGCATATGCAGGGCCCATTCCAGGGCCGGGGCCAGGGGAGTGCAGAGCTGAGGCAGCTGGAGGTGTGGGCAGGTGAAGGGCGGCCAGGAGGGGAGCGGTCAGCACGTGGGTGAGCAGAAAAGCAGGAGCAGAGTGAGCGGGGAGTGAGATATCCCCACGGAGGACAGTTGCCAGTGTCACCTACTGTGAGGAAGCCGTGCCAGGTGCCTTCCAGAAGCCAGGGCTGGCTGAGTCTCCCGGGCTTGCTTTCTGATGGGCTCACTGCCCGTTACATGCACCCCCACCCTGCGGTTTATGTGAATTCTGTTCCCTGGTTCCCTCCCTTTCCTAGCCAGGCTGCTGGCCTGGGACTCCACGTAGATTCCCGTCCCTCCCGCTCTCCCAGAGGCCTTCCCCATGTGGCCTGGAGTGTGGGCTCTGGGGCCAGGTTCTGGGCTGGAATTGGGTGGACTTCTCGTGCTTGCTCTTTCCTCACCTGCCACACGGGGACACCAGTGCGTGGGAGTGGGAGTCCGGGGCTGGGGGGGTGACCCTTAGGACGGGGCACAGGGTAGGGCTGCTCACCACCACCACACCTTTGCTCACCTCCTCTCTCAGTGCTGCACCCTCCAGCAGGGCGCCTGTTGTCATCACAAGGTTGCAGCCTGACGCCACCTCATGTGGGAGCTTTCCAAGCACTGTCCTCTGCCCTTCGGGACCTCCACTGTGCTGGGTGCTGTCAGTCATTTACACTCCACTCCACCCTGATGTAGACGTATCGTTCACCCCTCTCAAAGGGGGAAGCTGAGGCTCAGAGAGTACGCCACTTACCCAGGGTGTCAGCTAGTTAGGGAGGAGGTGGCTGAGGAAACCAGGCTTTGGTAGGCCCCAGAACCAGTTTGTTCTCTATCGACTACCACACGGCTTTACAGTCCAAGTGGGGGCGGCTTATCTGTGGGCAAGAGAAAAGCCAGGGCCCCAGGGAGGCTGCTCCAGGGCTCTCCACAGAGTGTGGTCATCCCCCTCCCTCTTCCCCTTTACTTTTGAGGTACTTTGGGTCAGGTTCCGGCTGATTTTTTTTTTCCTGCAGCACATTCCCAGTGAGCCTTGCAGTGGGAAAGGAAATGCCTCCGTGGGAGAGTCTCCACACGCTGGGCTGGGCATTGCTGTGGTCTCTGTGCCGCCCGAGGAAGCTGCTGCTGGCTGCCCTCCAGCCCACTCCCAGGAAGGTGGCACAGCCAGCGTTCTTGGGAAGGCCCCTCTTCTGTAGTGGGTGGGCCACACTGTGACTGACCTGTGGGCCTTACTGGGGGGGGGGGGGGAATCTGGGAGCCCTGATCTTCCCAGGCAGGTACTCTCTGCTGCCTCCTGTCTGTCTCACATAGTCACATTTGACCTTAGCCATGCCGGCTGAGAGCCGAGGATGTGGACTTGGGATGAGGCATGCAGACTCCAGACAGCCCCCACGGCCCTGGCCTTCATGGACCCCACTTGCGCCTGAGCTTCTGGGGGCGGGCAAGGGAGCCTACCACTGGCCTGGTTGTGTGGGTGCCCTGGCCTCCCGATCCGCCCCCTCAGCGAGCTGGGCGGCCCTTCCTGAGGGCCAGCCTAGCCGCTGCCCTGTCTCTGGCTCTCCAGCAGGCTCCTCTCTCAGCTTTCAAGCTGAGAGTTGACTCAGAGCTCTGGGGAAGTGGAGAAGGGTGGATCTGAGCCCTGTGAGCACAAGGGGCTTTCATATCTTAACCTCCCTGCAGGCTGGCTTCTTCAGAGAGGCCACCAGGACCCTTGGGATCCACCCAGAACTCAAGGAAGGGTTCTCTGAAGACTGTCAGCAGCTAATAAAACAGTCTGCGGGGGTGGGGCTGGAGGCCCTGGGGTGACAGGAAAGGTCTGTGTAATTGCCGTCTCTGGGTTGTGCCACCACCACGGTAGGTGATTGTAATTGCCAGGGCCAGGGCTCAAGTGCGCGGGGAGGGGCGGGAAGGTTTTCTGGGCAGAGGAAGGGTTCATTTGCCTTCTCAGCCCATGTCAGCTGAGACTCCTGTGGTTCCAGGCGGGCCGGGGCACCGAGCCCACCGCTAGGGAGAGTCCCACCAGCCGGGTGGGAAGCCCACACACGTTAATGTCTGGGACCTCAGCCTTTCCTGTCCTGCTGTGTTGAAGGAGCTCCTTCTGACTATCTTTGCCAGTGGTCCTGAATAAAGTGGGCAGGGGCCTCTGGAGACAGCCGTCCCTGAGTCCTGGGGGCAGTGGAGGGGATGGACGCAGACCAGGCCTGTGAGGCCAAGTAGAGCATGTCCATGACGTGTCCACAAGAAGGACCAAAAGAGCTAGCCCCCCAATCCGAGCTGCAGTGCCCGTGAGGGGTTGGCCCCTAAGAGCAGAGCGATGGGGACAAGGCAGCCTGAGTGTAGACGCCCCTGAGCTTTGTGGCCCTTTATGGCTTGGCTGTCCTCCCTGGAGGGGCCCAAGAGAGCATACCCTAGCCCACCCAGTCTGTGATGTTTCCCCAGAGGTCGTGAGCAGCTTTGTGAACCCTCTCTCTTCCCCTCCTTCCAGTGGGTATACAACATTCTCGATAAGAAGGCAGAAGCTGACCGGATAGTTTTTGAGAACCCAGACCCCTCTGATGGCTTTGTTCTCATCCCTGACCTCAAGTGGAACCAACAGCAGGTAAAAGCTTTCTTGCTGGGGCTCTCTGGTCTCCCAGGACTTGCTCCAGGTTGCTGGTCCTCCTTAATCCTGCCCTTTTCTCTCCTGTTGGTCTCTCTGAGCAGGTGTTAACTCACCAACAATGGAAGCCTGAGCTGTGTACAAACATTTACACCTTCAGGTGTCAGCTCCGAGTTCTTCCTGGTTCTCCTCCCACCCAGGGGGTGAGGAATGGGGTGATGTTTGCATCCATAACCACAGGGGCCATTCTTTAACCAGCCAAGTGGCTTGGCCACCCTCCCTTCCAGGAGCACTTAGAACCCTGGACACCAGCAGATCCAGGCAGGCCTGTGATCCGAAGCACTGATAGGAAGGAGCCATGGCAACCAACCCAAAGGAGGTGACTGCCCACTGGTAGGGTGGATAGTGGAGGGAGGCTGCCAGAGTACCTGTGTCCACTCCCCCCACCCGCAGCCCTGCAGCTTATCCCCACCACAGGCCTTGAGGGAGGAAGAGCCTGGCTCTGGAGTTGTCTGGGGAGCTAGGACAAGGCCACAGAATAGGAATGACGGTGACAGCTCTGGGCGACGCCTCTGTGCAGCTCTGCAAGCCCCCCATCTGCCCCATGAGCAGCCCTGTGCCTGAAGGCCCGGGTCACAGACTGGGGCACGGGAGATGGGCTATGAAGTACGAGGAACTTCTACCTCGCGAGATTTTTGAAGACTAAAGAAAACACAGCGTCGTTTTGACCTTGTGCTGGCAGGCATCCTGCTGGGCCTGTGGGTGGAATTGCCCTGTCTGTCTGTCCCCTTTAAGACAAAAGTCTTCAGGAACTGCACTGGGCTCCCAGCCACAGGGCTGGGGTGGCTCACCCTCGGGGCTTATGAATAGGCCCGTTTAAATGTCAGACTTACTTTGATGGCCATACAGGTGCCATTGTTCTTAACCTTTGCTTAATTAGCGCCTGTCTCTTGGTGGTGCCATATTTCATTGTTTGGAATCCCTGGCTTGTGACAGAATACTGAAATCAACAGCTCCCTTAGAATTTGTGCCAGTGTAGCCAGCAGGCGAGACAGACCGGGCCTGGACGTCTGTTCTTTGTTCTTGTATGGGGGTGGGGGTGGGGGGCGGTGGGCACGGACTGAGGAAAGAAGTACTCTGGTGTTTGCTTTAAGGAGCCTTCCTAGCCACCCTGGAATCTCCTCCTGCTGTTTCTCCCAAAAGTATGTCATAAGGGTATGCTCCCAACTGCTGACCCAGGATTAAAGAAGACTCTTTGTCCGTCCGTCCGTCCATCCATCCGTCCGTCCGTCTACCCATCTATCCACTCCACATATATTGGTCAAATGCTAGAGAATCTTGCTTCCCTGGAGCTTATAATAGCCCTTCCCCAGTTCTTGTAAGAAATTGCCTGTATATTCTCTTTTATTTGCCTTTTTTTTTTTAAGGCCTAGTTAATACATGTGATGTAGTTTGGGGAATGTAGGTGAGATCTGGAGCCAACGACCAAGAAAGAATTCTTGAGGCTTTTTTGGTGCCAAAAGGTGGTTTATTAAAGAGGGGGACAGGACCCTTGGGCAGGAAGAGCTGCTGCCCCGGGGCTGTGAGCGGTGGCTGATTATATACTTGGGGGTTGGGGGTAAGGAAAAAGGGAGGTTTTCTAAAGAACCTTCCTATGCAAAAGAGGACCTACAAGATATTGGAGGCCTTGCCATTGTCAAGTTAAGGTTGTTTTTCCCTCTAGCAAAGCATTAACATTAAGACAGTTGGGAGTTTCCTTCTGGAAGTTAGGTTATTGATAAGAATGCTTTTTCCTTATAAATCACTAAGACATTTGTAAACTGAGGGAGACTCCTGTCCTGCAGGAGTGTAATCTCTCTAAGTTAACCATTTGTCTTTCCTTCCCTTTGCTTTAGGGCAGTGGGGAGTGCTGAGGAGTGTCACACATGTCCCACCTGGGGGCGGGGCCTTGCGGGGTGCCAGCTTGTGCTTTGTCCTCAGCTTGCCTTCTGCACCCTCCTCACAGACACACAGTAAAAATGCAAGTAGTACAAATAGCTCGGTGGAAGTCCTTCCCTCAGCCCACATTCCTCCATTTCCCTCCCCCTGAAGGGACTGTTTCTCAGGAGAGAGGATTTCTTTGTCTCTCCTCCCAGGTGTAGTCTTTGCATATTGTGTGTGTAAGTGTATCTCTATCTGTCTCTGTGGACGCAGTGTGTACTTTCAGTTTATCTCAGGTCGGTTCTTGGATCTAAAGTGCCCAGACCAGGAAACTCTTCCTTTGGCTCACTCCAGAGGGGGAGAGATGGCTCCCCAAGGCTCCAGCCACTCTCCTTCTTGCCCCTTGCCAGGAAGCTCTTTGAGTCGGCTGTCCTGCCTTGTAAAAAGAGATTAATGGTGTCTGGCCTGCCCGGAGTGATCGGCGGGCCACCTTCTGGGATACCAGCCTGAGACCTTGTCTAGCTTGCTTCAGACCCTTTCTCTGGGCCCGGGAGCGGGGGCGGGGGGGGGGGCTTGAACTGCCTGCAGAAAATCTGAGGTCATGTCTGCTATCAAAGAAAGGGTTTCCCTCCTTCACACAGCCTGTGACGGACGCCCGGCAGCCGGCTTCATGCTTCATTCCATGCCTGTGGAGCAGAGAGGTGTGATTTAATGTCATGCTTGTGATTGGTCAGCAGCCATCATCTAAAACAAATGCTACTATTATCTGAGAGTCTGGGACAGTGACACATAACAACAGCTGAAGATACCAACGGGCACGCAGACACCCCAAGTTCAAGCACTTTTGTTTCCTGCTTCTCCTGGGGCTGCTAGGAGAGAGAGAGAGAGAGAGAGAGAGAGTGAGTGAGTCCTGGGCACAGGCCCTGAGGAGGGAGAGTCTAGAAGGAGCTTGTGGGCAAACTGCCGCTTCGGCAGGCACAGCTTAGCCATTTGCTGGGAGCTTCCCACGGGGCTCATCTGTAGCAGGTGTGAGGCTGAGAGGCCCCGACTGTTAGAGAGGAATGTCTGTGGCCTGAAGAGACTACCTTGTCCACAGTTGGACAACAGGCACCATATGGGAAACCTCCTCGGTTTTCAAACTGGGGCCCTGGGGGATTCAGTTGGGTGACTCACGGTCCCTGGATTATGTCCTTGAGGAATGTAGCCGCTCAGCTGAGTGCTGCAGACCTCCCCCCTCCCCACTGCCGGGCCTTGCCCCATGGAGCCCTGGCGGCCCGGGACTGCCTTGCACATGGATGTGATTATCAGCCAGGGCCAGGGCTCAAGTGCGCGGGGAGGGGCGGGAAGGTTTTCTGGGCAGAGGAAGGGTTCATTTGCCTTCTGGCACAAGAGCTTGTTGATTTTGGTTCTTTGCGCTGTTAGAACCTCCAGGTTTTCGGCCAGGCGCTGTTTTCAGGAAGGACAGCAGGAAGGGTGCTCTCTGAGCCCTATGTGGTGGGGGAAGAGAGAAAAAGGTCTGGCACTCTGGCGGTGCTCATTGCTAAGCTGGCCCCAGGGTCCCTTTTCGCCCTTCAAATCCTTCTACACCCCTTCCCCTGCACTGGACTCCAGACAAATCAAGTGGCTTATTCTCCCCCCTCCTGCTCTATACTTCCTTGCCTCTGGGCCTTTCCTTTAACTGTCCTTCTACTGGCATGCCCTTTCTCTAAACGCTACCTCTTCTTTAAGACCTGGATCCCCTGCCTCCTCTTCCAGGAAGCCTGTCTGGATCAACCTAGCTAGCTGGTCTTTCCTTTTTCTTCCTTTACTTTTATCACTTTATGTCTTGTAGTAGCTACTTATGTACATGCTGTTAGCCCATAAACTCTTGGAGGGAAAGAGTTGTCCTTGGCACTTTCTTGAACCTTCTCTCACCCCGCCATCAGCTCTGTGAGTATATAAATACTCCCATATGATATTTTTATTTTATTTTTTTAAAGATTTTATTTATTTATTCGACAGAGACACAGCGAGAGAGGGAACACAAGCAGGGGGAGTGGTAGAGGGAGAAGCAGGCTTCCTGCGGAACAGGGAGCCCGATGCGGGGCTCGATCCCAGGACCCTGGGATCCTGACCCGAGCCGAAGGGAGACGCTTAATGACTGAGCCATGCAGGCGCCCCCCCCCCCATATGGTATTCTTGAGTAGCAAGAGCGAACAGAAGTTCTGTCCTTAGATTGTCCCGCACATCCCAGGCATGTGGAGGCCCCCATTGCCAGGGGCTCCCTGGGATCGCCTATGGATGGCACTGAAGCAGGCCTGGGGGCAGGCGCTCCCTGGCTTCTGTGAGGGATTCTAGGATGGGCAGCCTCCCCTGGCTCTGTCCGCCGCTGAGCCTGGTTGACCGCTGCCGATCTCTGCGCAGCTTGATGACCTGTACCTGATTGCCATCTGCCATCGCCGGGGCATCCGATCGCTTCGGGACCTCGCTCCAGAGCACCTGCCGCTGCTCAGGAACATCCTCCGGGAGGGCCAGGTGAGTTGCCTTGGCCAAATCCACACCGAAGCCCAGAGGGATTCTTTTCTAATTCCGGTGTGTTCCCTGGCCACTTTCTTCATCCTTCCTGGAAGCCCGTCTGTGAACGGGGCTCCTCTCTGGCTGCCCGTCCCTGGGCCCCACGAGGGCTCCTCAGAGGGACTCCTTGGTCCTGCCCTTCCCTCCAGCTCTGCCTTCAGCCGCCTTTCCTCTGCCTGGGTTCCCGCTTTTGCTTCCCTGCCTTTCTCCTGCAGGTCTCTTCTGGGACCCCCTTTTCTCCCAGGACCCCCTGTGTCTGCTCATGACTGCCACATCGTGCCAGACGCGTTTCTTGGCCAGATGGGTCCCCAGCTCCGATGTGTGCACATTGTACCTCCTCTTCTGCCTTGAGGCCAGAGCCCGAGTTCTGGAGCACCTGGCATTCTGGGGTGCTTTGTACGGGGATATCTGCTGGATCACATGAAATTAAAGAGGAGCCCTGGAGGCAAGGGAGGAGGGTCTAGAATCTGGGCTCGTGGTCTTGGTTCTGGCATTCTGACCCTCACCACCTGAGTGACCCTGGGCAGGACTCGTCATCCCACCTCCCTGGGCCTCGATGTGTGGATGGGGTGCTGCTAAATCCCATTCTGTGGGGTGGTTGCCACTCTTTTTTCCACTCAGGATTCAAAGATGCTGCCCCAGGCCAGGGCCCAGCAGTCACCAGGGTGCCCGGCCAGGGGAGCTGCTCTCAGTGGCTTTGCCGCAGGCCTGGGGGAAGGGCTTTCCTGGATCCACTCTTTGCTACCTCTGGACCCCAGCTGCCTGCCACTGCACCCTACCTGGCCTTCTCCCTCCTGCCGGCCCACATTGCTGCCTCTCTGGCCACCCGTCTCTGAGTGGAGTAATTCGTTTCTCTCCTGAAACAGCCTCTGGATGGCAGAATGGCGTCTTTCTCTCAGGGAGATGCTGGGCCTACACTTCCACCTGCCCTGGCAGCTCAGGCAGCCTCGCCCGGACAGGCCAGCCATACTTACCCCCAGAAGGCCTCTGGGTGCCTTGCCCTTGGCCTCACCCTGCTGCAGAGAGCCCCAGGCAGAGTCCCAAGTGTAGGATGTAATTGTGGGGTGTATTCTGAGCCCACTGAGGCCCTCGTCTTTTTCTCCTCACCTCTGACCTCCTCAGGGATTCACCCACAGTGGAAATCAGAGTCCCCTGTTGATGCCAAGCCTTGGAGGCTCCAGAACGGGAGCTTGGTAGAAACAGCCCTACCCCTGAGCAAGGTGGGGGATGGGCAGAGGGAGCCAGGGTCAAAGTCAATGCTTTCCTCTTCTACCGGGAGTCCAGTGAGATCTTCCCTGGGTCTTCTAGGGGCAGCCCTTCCCATGTGCCCTCCCCCATTCTCTGTCTTCCACCAAGCCTCAGCTCAGCCCCATCCCTGTCACCCTTGTTCCCCAGCTCCACTCTGTTCTATGCTAAGAGGGGATACAGGCCCCCCTCCCACCTACTCGGTGATTTAAGTCGGCATCAGTCGTCCACGGGGAGGACAGTCCCCATAGTCTTAGACATCTGGGGCCTGTCCTTTGACACTGAGACTTCTAGATTCCCAGCAGCAACTGTTCGAGGAGCTTCAATGTTTTATCGAGGTTGGAGTGCGGGACCTTAACGGAGGCCCCCGTTCCCTTCATTTGGGAGAAAAGCCCCTGTTTGCTGCTGTCACCTGCTTTTGTTGATTCCCTAGAATGCAAGACAGGGACCTGCAGTGAACTGTGGGGAGGGCTTTCTGGAGGGCTTTTGTCAGCTGTCCAGAGGCCAGCCGGGGATTAGGGCCAGAGGAGGGCCTGGGGGCAGCACAGTGACCCCTTTCCTGCCACCCCTCTTTCTCATCAGGAAGCCATCCTGCAGCGCTACCAGGTGAGGGGAGACCGTCTCCGCGTGTACCTGCATTACCTGCCTTCCTACTACCACCTGCACGTGCACTTCACGGCCCTGGGCTTCGAGGCCCCCGGCTCCGGGGTGGAGCGGGCTCATCTGTTAGCAGATGTGATCGAGAACCTGGAGTGTGACCCGGAGCATTACCAGCAGCGCACCCTCACCTTCGCCCTCAGGGCCGATGACCCTCTGCTCAAGCTCTTGCAGGAGGCCCAGAGGAGCTGAGTCCCACCCAGGGGCTGTCCGGCGAAGAACACAGATGTGTGGGATCCGGGTGGGCTGGGGAGGGACTTCGGGAGTTTTAGTACCAAGTGAATTTTTTTTCAAAATGTATTTTGTACTGGCTTATTCCTAGTATGTGAGTAAAGTATTGGTCTCCTTTGGTGTGGACTGATGACTCGGGGGGCAGGTGGTGCCGGCAGAACAGGGTAGGAAGATCCTGGTCCAGGAGCCAGGTCTGGGGTGGTGGCTTCAGCTGACCTGGATGTGTGCCAAGGGCTTTCTCCAAATCCCAGTGAACACCATCCTTGGTGATTCCCATGTCCCGAATCCGACGGTGCCTTCCCCCGTCTTCGGTCCTTCCTGCTCTGCTCCCACCTCCCCCTTCCTTCCTCCCATTTGCTGTATCTTCCTCCTGGTTTTCGAGGCCCATGTGTCTGGGAGTTCCCCCAAAAAACCAGATACAAAAACTTTATGGAAATAACCTATAGAGTGTTTTTGACAGTGCTTCCTCTTCCCCTCCCCAGAACGGAGGTCGCACCTCCAGCCTGTAAGTCAGCCCCGCTGATAAACTTCTTGTTGACAAGGATAAAGGATTGCCGCCTGGAAGTGGGAGGGTTTTAATAAGAATCAGATGATGCGAGCCCAAAAAAGCTTGCCTTTGCCTCTGTTACTTGGTCAGCGAGCCCCTGGCCTTGACTTTGTTATCTAGGGAGGAAGACAAAACAAGCTCATAGAACAGCCAGAAGACCAAACACAAAACAGCCCATCAAGGGCAAAATGATACGGTTGTGGTGGAGGACAAAAGCTTCGAGGGCTCAGGTTCGAGGTGTGACCAGCAACACAGGTCCCTGTTCATAGAATCTGGAGGCCAGGAAGCGACTTAAGAGTGTCTGAGGCTGGTGGCCTTAGGGAGCCTTCGGGGGCTTATCTGGGAAGGGTGACATCAGGGTGCACACGTGAGGGCATGCACTTGGATACATGAGGCACTCATTTCAGCACAGGGGACAGGTACACCACGCTGCGGAGCGGGGCTGGGATTTACTCGTTAGTCCCTCAGCCCCACTAGATCGTGCTTCCTCGGGAGGCTTTCTCGGGGGAGAGGATGTTGGCTTCTTCCAAGTGATAAGAGGGAAGCATAAGGCAGGGATGGCCTGTAGTCTGCAATTCCTGGACTGAGAGAACCAGGAGACAGTTCAGAGTCAAATGTACCTCGCAGGCCAGGCACTGCCCTAGAGACTGGTAAGTGGGGAACAAACAGAAGTCTCTCCCCCTGGAGCTCACATTCACCCCATAACCTTGGACCGGACCCCACGTGTCCTGAGCCTGTTTAAGAGCAGGGATGAGATTCCATGAGGTGTCCTGCTGTGTAAACCTAACGCGTGATAGTGTTGCTTTCTGGTAAACTTTTAAGAGGCCCCTGATGGACTTTTAAGCCAGGCAGTGCTTTAACTGTTGGGAAAACAAAGCTCCTCCCCTCCAGGCTACTGGGGCAGACAGCCATGCGAACTGAACCGCAGGAGTAAAAAGAGGCAGCACCTGGGAAGCTACCTTGAAAACAAGTATGTGGGAGAGGCTGGCGTACTAGGTTCCCCTAGGAAGACCAACGGAGTACGCTTGTGGAATCTCAGTGCTCGGCAGGGTAGCTGACCCAGCGCATCTGTCGCAGGACAGCCTAAGTGGAATAAGGCAGTGAGGCCAAAGGAGGCTGGTTACAGGGAGCGGGGTGGCCCCGGGTGGGAGCTGCCTTCCTCCCCCAGGAAGAGATGAAGTAGCGGCTAGTTTAAGAGCAGCCGTGGCCGGTTTTGTCCATGTACAAGAACTGTCGCAAAGATACTTGAGGGGAGCAGGAGTGGAGGGGATGCCCACCCAGAGAGGCCCCTCCTTGCGGACAGAGCAGAGGGACCCGATCCCGGGAGCATCCTTTTCTCCTTGACAGATCAGGTTCTGCCGCTGGGGCTCTCATCTGGCTTCACACATGGGTGCACGCTTGGAAAAGACTAGCCCGTGGCAAATCCCGACCCCAAAGGACCGCTGGGGAGCCTCCCAGGGGACCAGGGTCTCTATTTCCCTGGGACTAAGCTCTGCCAAGGTATTCCCTGCCTCCCCAGACTTGACTCCCCAGCCTGGTCTGTCCCATCGCTCCTCCTCCCTCTCAGGCTTACTGACCCATCCATCAAGTCTCTACCAAACACCTTGCATGGGCGGGCACTGCAGCGCGGCACTGGGGACAGGAAGATGGAGAAGACCCGCCAACCTGCACCCTCTGGGAGTGTGGCTCCGTGGGTGGGGAGAGCGTAGGACGAGACTGTAGGTAAGAGCTCTTCTACAGAGAGGTTCTAAAGGCTTTGCCCTTTTGTACTGCTGGGAGGCACTCCTCTGTCAGGATGAACTCTGCTTTCAGAGGGGAAGAGGGTCGCTTCTCCTGTGGCCCCTGAAGCCAGAGTCACCAAGGCCCAGAGAACAGCCCTGCAGGCTGCAAACTGCTCTGGGAGAAGCGACCTCAGGAACTCGGCCCTCATGCCCCAAAGGCCCCTGCAGTGGCCAGCGTCCTGCCCACGAGAGTGTTTGCTTCTCCTCCAGGGAACAGCTGATCAGATGTGTGGTGAGGCATGAAATGGATCCTGCTGAGTCTCTGTGTGACATACACCTCTCTGCCCTCGCCACCACATGAGATTATCTTCGAGGCAACCCCGTCGGACCTGAATCCGGGGGCCTCCAGCTGCAGGGAGGAGCTGGCCGAGTCAAGGGGTCAGTTGCTCTGTTACACCTCATCTGAACTCCCAGAGGGCCTCTTCTCGAAGACCCACGCTTTCTGACCACGTACCACTTCCTGCCAGTTCTAGGGAGTCTGTGTTCCCAGGGACCCCAGGGGTCCAAGTGCAGCTCCCTCCACCACAGGTCCCGTGGGCCTGGAGCAGGTCACAGCAACTGGGTCACCTCCCGAGCAAGGGCTTTCCCCTCAAGCAAAGGAGCTCCACTCAATCGAGGTCTCCTGCTTCTCAGTCCAGGGGATACAGAGAGCTACCTACCCCCTCTCTGCCCTAGCTTTCCTATTTTTTTTCTTTTTTTAAAAGTTTGTATTTACTTATTTTAGAGAGAGAAAGAGAGAGGGCATGAGTGGGAGGGGGGGAGGGAGAGGGAGAGAGAATCCCAAGCAAACTCCGCGCTGAGCTCAGAGCCCAGCGCGAGGCTCGAGCTCACGACCCTGAGATCATGATCTGAGCGGAAACTAAGAGTCGGCTGCTCAACTGACCACACCACCCAGGCGCCCCTGCCCTAGCTTTCCTCTGGATGTCACTTTGCAGAACCCCACATCCTGCCTCCCCTGAGAAAGCTTCCTGAGCAAGATCCAGTGTCCCTCGACCCCACCTTAACCAGCTAGCAAACGCCGGCCCCTCCCTGGCAGCATGATCCATCTGTCCTGCGTGCTGCAAAGAAAGTCTTCTGTGTTTGATTGCGTGCCCTCCCTGTGCGTGCCTGGGTCCCTGCCCTGCTGGAGCAGGGGCAGATGTCACCCTTCGCGGGAGAATCCTGGACATGTCCACAACTGGCTGTCAGCCCCCAGTACTTGGCCCACTGTCTCCTCGGCGTGGCTAGAGAAGGAAGGAAGAATGACTGCTATTGTTCCTTGGCTCCTTTCATTTTGCCCAAAAGTTTCCTCATAGAGCAAAATTGCTGAGTGTCCTCGATTTGTCAACATTCCTTCATGACACGGAAAAAAATAACATCTTGGAACAAGTGGGACATGTAAGCTGAACACAGAGCCCCGGACTGAGGAACAAATCGAGACACATTTACATACAAAGTAATATTTGAAATTGTTTCTCTTGTAATACTTCCATATCCAAAACATTTTATTTTTTATTACTTTTTTTAAAGATTTTATTTATTTGACAGAGACACAGCGAGAGAGGGAACACAAGCAGGGGGAGTGGGAGAGGGAGAAGCAGGCTTCCCGCGGAGCAGGGAGCCCGATGCGGGGCTCGATCCCAGGACCCGGGGGATCATGACCTGAGCTGAGCCGAAACATTTTAGTATATCTCTTTTCTTTCTGAATCGACTAATGTAGGTCGGCCAACTCTTCCTCCTCAGAAAGGACAAAAATCTTCATTCCAAACATGTATATATGATGTTAAAATGTCCTTTTTTTAAAAAAAAAATTATTTTTTTTTAAAGATTTATTTATTTATTTCTTTGAGAGAGAGAATGAGATAGAGAGCATGAGACGGGGGAGGGTCAGAGGGAGAAGCAGACTCCCCGCTGAGCAGGGAGCCCAATGCGGGACTCGATCCTGGGACCCCAGGATCATGACCTGAGCCAAAGGCAGCTGCTCAACCAACTGAGCCACCCAGGCGCCCATTAAATGTCCTTTTTTAAAGAAGATGGTAGTCATTGGTGGTAGTTGTTTTTAAAATATCCTCACTCAGCAAAATAAATGTTGGCAACCCTGTGTTTGTTCTAGTGCTATTATTAGTGAAATGATACTGGATTCTGAAATCTACACAGACTTGAAGTTACCATGTTTTAACCACTTAAAAAATAAGCAGGGACTGAATCCGTTTCAATTCAATGAGCACGTGTTGCACATCTTCCGGACATTTTTTTTTTTTTTTAAGTAAGACTCTGGAGCTAGAGCTTACATGGAGCTTATGATTTAGTGAGGAACACAGGCATTAATCACAAAGTAATTACAAAAGTGGTGAATGCCTTCAAATAAAGCAGAGGGGGCTGTGAGAAGGCAAATGCAAAGAGAAAGCAAATTTCTAGGCTATGCTTGACAAGCAGCGGCCGGGCAGTTCGGGGGACCATGGCTTAGCACGCTGGGATCTAGAGCCAAGCTTCTGGCATGACGCACACGTGCACAATGACAACACTGACCAGTTCGTCCTTCAGGACCATGATGAAGAAATGAAAGTCCAAGAGAAGGACAAATGTCTGGGAGGCAGTGTGGTCTGATGGCTTCGGCATAGAATCTGCACCATCCCCCAGGTATGATCGTGGGCAAGTTACCTAACTGCTCCCAAATTAGGAATGCTAAGAGTGCCCACCATGAGGGGTTTTGTGGGGATTAAAGACAAGCCTTTTTCGGACATAGCTGTCACTGGGGAAACGTTAGCTTTGTTTCTACTGTGAGAAGGATGTAACCAGAGATATTTGGGCTAGATATTAAAAAGAACTTCTGATTAGAAGGGCTGTGAAATCCTAGATTATGCAGTGTGGAGGCACAGAAACCAAGTGACTTTTATGCAAAAAGGCGCCGGGGTGGCTCAGCCGTTAAGCGGCTGCCTTCGGCTCAGGTCATGATCCCAGGGTCCTGGGATTGAGTCCCACATCAGGCTCCCTGCTCGCTGGGGAGTCTGCTTCTCCCTCTGCCTCTGCCTCTGCTTGTGTGCTCTTTCTCTCCTTCTCTGTCAAATAAATAAATAAAATCTTTAAAAAAAAAAAAAAAAGCAAGCCATAAACTGTCTGTGGTTAATTGACTGTGGCCCCAAGCAGAGGCAAGGGCTGCACGCAATGACTTCTTGGGATCTCCTCCAGCCTAAAGATTCCTGGAATGCCTTGGCCTAGCGGCAGGTTTCTAAGACTCCAACAGTGATGTCCCCTGCCTGCTATTGAGAACCCTGGGAACAGCTCAGCTCTAAGGTCCGGCCATATAAATCTGATAAAAATGGGAGCTGAAATACCCTCCCAGAGTTGCTATTTTTAAAAGCGTCTGAAATGCTGGATTGGGTTTGTTTCTTCCTCACACGGCATCTTGCTGTTCCCTCCTCCTGGTGGGCAGGATGCTAACGTGGCACATGTGCGGTGTTCTGGTAGGAGCCAGAAGCCTGTGAGGCACATTTGTCGAGCGGCTCCGGGCCTCCTACCCACACCCACCGCCTGCCAAGGAGGAGCCTCCGGGGCCACGGCTTCCCCGACAAGCACCTGCCCCTTCCCTCTGGCCCTGAGGCCTCTCTGGTTGCCTCACTTCCTCCACCGTGGAGACAGAACCAGAGAGGTCAAGGGAGGCAGAGGAAAAAGGAACAGAAGCAGCACGGCTCCAAACGGGACCAGGACCCGGACGGCGGCTCCTCAGGCTGTCTTGACTTGTCCTTGGTGCAGCTAGCTTCCGGGAAGAACAGTCCCAAGGAGCCAAACCCCTGCTGGCTTCATCACCTTGCCTCTTGCTGAGCAACCTGCAGTGTCCTGCAAGGGGGCAAGGAGCTGGGTGGTGCTCAGATGGCTCCAGAACCCCTCGCCCAGGGTTCAAAAGGCCCCAGAATTGCTTCCCTCCTGCCCCACTGATCATATGGCTTCCAGGCAGCTAGCTAAGCAACTGGTTGTGTCATTAAGAAACGGAAGGGGAAAGATCATGAGTAAACACACTGCACGGCCTGAGGGGAGGACTCAGAGTTACAGTTAGCTTCTGGGCGCCCAGTAACCTGGGATAAGCCCTGGGGGGGGGGCGGGGAGGAGATCTGACTACTTCTTTTGTTTTTTGTTTTTTAAGATTTTATTTATTTATTTTGACAGAGAGAGAGAGAGAGAGAGACAGCAAGAGAGGGAACACAAGCGTGGGGGGGAGCGGGAGAGGGAGAAGCAGGCTTCCAGCAGAGCAGGGAGCCCGATGTGGGGCTTGATCCCAGGACCCTGGGATCATGACCTGAGCCGAAGGCAGATGCTTAACGACTGAGCCACCCAGGCGCCCCGAGATCTGACTACTTCTATAGGTTCAAGAAGGGATGCCACCTGCATAAGATAACTCACATTTACATGCACATTGTACTTTCAGAGCCAAGTTCCAGTCCACTGCCTAATTTAATACCAATAGTAACTTTGACTAAACACAGTTATTTCCATTTTTTTTTTCGAGTAAGAAAACTAAAGCAATGTAGTGACAGAGGTAGATTTGGGAGTCAGATCTCCGGGAGTGAGAGCTGGCCCTTCAGTTCTGTTCTCTGGCAGAGTGACGTTTACGTGGCTCATGGCAAGAACTGCAAACCGTGTTTAGATGTAGTTCACCAAAGGGTCAGCAAAGTTTAGAAGCTGGGTCGATTCTCAGTTCAGCTTGGCCAGACTCACCTTGGTGCTTTGGGCACCTGTTGACTCTCTTTGGGCCAGTTTTCCTGCCTGTGAACCAGGGACGATATAGCCCCCTTTTCCCCTTGACTCGCTCTGGGCATGGACTTTAGTCACTGACTTCTTTCTACCTAGCTAAGCTTAGTTTAGGCCTGGAGTGGAATGCAGTAAGCCTTTGTTGACTGAATGCTTGACAGACCAAGCCAACGGCACCATTCAAACATAACTAAGTTAGACATTGGTGGGATGCAAAAAGAATCTGTTTGGGCAAGGTGTGATTTAGAATGGAAGTCACCTGTGGAAGAACTTGGAGGCTGACTCTGTTCACCCAAGCCTTCTCCACTTTGCTCTTGCAGAGCCTCCGGAGGTATCTGTTCTCAACAAACAAGCCCTCCAGTTTCATCTGAGGTGAACCTGGAGCTGGCACTTCTCTGAACCCCCTTTGCACTTACTGTCGGTTACTAACATCTCACACTTAGTCACTTCCTGTCTTGCCTTATTCTTGAACAGAAGTCCATTATGAGCATTCTCTCTGGGTAAACTTCGTGGAGACAGCGACCAGGTCTCAGACTTTCCTGGGAGCCGCCGGACCCTCCAGCACCAGGCTGTTCCCACTAGGAGCTCAGTAAACACCGCTCACCTATGGAAGAACCACTCACCTATGCAAGAGAGTGCCTCGGGGGCTGGGGTTTTCCTCGGGGGTCATTTCTGGACTACGGTTTCTGGGCCTGCGCGGTTTCCAGGGTTGATTGGGGGATGTCTGAGCCCAAGGAAGTAGGGTCAGGAGACTGATGAGGTTTTCCCTGGAGACAGCGTGCCTGGCGCCTTCTGTAAGGAACAGAAACTGAGAAGCTTTCTCAAGGCCAAAATCGGTGTGCAGAGAGGGGCGGCAGAGAGAGCAGTCTGGGAGCTGCAGGTGCAGACGAGGGCAGAGGAGAGGCCCAGGTCTAGGTCCAGGTCCAGGGCACCTGGCCGCGGGGCCCTAGGGGTGGGGGTGGGCTCCCGAAACAAGGCCCTCCCCCTTCTGTACCTCACTTTGCCAAGCGAGCGAAGGACGCGGTTCACCACGTGGGAGAGCTGAGAACCCTTTGTTGGGTCTCATTGTTCCCAGGAGAGTGCGCGGAGGCTGCGCTGGGCACATCCATCCTGGCGCCACTCACAGGCGGCGCCCGCCCGGGCTCTACCCTCACCCCATCCGGCCTCCCCTTCCGCCCCCCCCCCCCCCCCCCCCGCGCCCCCGCCCCCCCGCCCCCCCCCCCCCCCCAGGCCTCCACGGCTCCCACAGCGTCCCAGGCCGGCGGGCCTCAGCCCCGCCCGCGCGCGGCAGCGCCCCAGCCCTTCCTCCGCCTCCCCGCCCTTCCTCCGCCAGCCCGCCCGCTCCTCGGAGTCGGCTCCCCGGCCGTGTGCGCAAGCGTGTCCGGCCCCTTCCCCGCCCCCCGCCCGGGCCCGGGCCCCCGCCTCCCCGCAGGCGGACTTCCCCGCTCCCAGGCCGGCCCCGCGCCCGGGACAGGGACCCGGCCGAGCGGAGCCGCCGCGCCGCCAGCCCGTGCGCCTAGCGGATCGGAGCTGTGCGCGAAAGTGTCGTGCCCCGCCCCGCTCCACCCGCGAGGGTGAGTACGCGGCGGCCGGTCCCCGTGAGGTCCGGGGGGAGGGCGGGAGCGCCGCGGGGGCCCGGCTGTCTGGTCCTCCCCCCCTCACCCCCCTTCGCCCCGCGTCGCCGCGGCCGGGGGAGGTGGTCGGCCGGGCACGTGGGCGCAGCGCGGAGCCGGCCGGGGTGGGGCGGCCACGGCCCCGGGATCCCTTTCTCTGGACCAGATTTTCGCGGGAAGCCGGTGCTCTTCTCTCCCTTGGAGTGAGCCACCCGGATGGTCCTCTTCTCCGGAAAGTTTCTAGCCCCGACCCCTGCGCCCCTGCTCAAGAGGCGTCCCCACCTTCAGCATCCTCTGAGCCCTGCTGTCTCGCACAACCGCCCGCATCGAGTCCAGGAGATCGGTGGGCTGGCTTGGCTAGAGGTGACAGGCTTTGCTGGGTCCATCCGTGTGCAGGAGTCCCAAGGTCGCTAAGCAGAGCCCAAAGGTGGGAGTTGCTAGCTGCAGGCAGGCGGTGCCCGGGATGCCAGGTCCCCGTTGTGGGCGCCTTTGGGCCTAGGCCCCTGTGCCTCAGAGTTGCCGGGGTGGTGGACAGTGGGAAGGGATGGGGTTGGGGTGAGGGTGGGGTACAGATGCGACAGGACCCCCGGGCTCCGCTGTGGGCGCTGGCTGCCGCCTGGGGCCCTTGCTGGCAGGCACCTTCTGGCCCGCCCAGAGTTGCCAACATGTCTGCCAGTAACTGCCCCCTCCATTTCCAGTCTTGGGGGTAAGCTCCGTCTGGGCCATCGGAGGCCTGATCCACTGCTGCTGCTTCCCCTGTTCCACAGACCCGGTCCTGAGGGCCTGGCCTAGGGGGCTCCTTCTGGAAGGCTGGGCGTGGGGATGGTGTAGGCAGTGTTCAGGTGCTCAGCTGTGCTTGTCTGACCTCATGGCCACCCACAGGCTGGCACCCCCACAGGCTCCTCAGGGAAGGGTGTGCTTTCCACCACTGGAGGGAGACCCAGCCAGGAAGCCAAGTTCAGGCTGACTTCTTCTTCGCAGAACCTTGGGAGCGGGGCCTGGTGCGGGCTAGCTTGTCACACGAGGCACAAGCTGATGCTGCTGTCTCCTGAGTGGCCACCTCCGGGCCGTGGCCGTGGTATTTGCCAGGGTGATTTTAAATACGTTGATATGTGTGAAGTGCACTGAAAGGTACCTGCACAAAGGAAGAGGCATGTAAGTGCTGCTAGTGATGTTCCTTCCACACTCCACACTCTTACTTACCCTCCAGAGTTGCCCCCTAATTCCAGAGAGGGTGCCTGGGAGGTGCCAGCTATTCCGGGGGGGCGGGGCCTAGAAATTACCCTGTGGGTAATCTTTTCTCTTTGCTGGGAGCGGGTGGGCCTGGGCCGAGGTGGCGCTCTGACCTTGTTCTACTCCCGTCTCCACCGAGTACTCTCTGTGCCGTCCCTCAGCATCACTGTGCTGGGTGGGAGATCTTCGGCTGTCCGGGGGCCCTGGGTTTCATCAAGGGTTGCAGGAGAGATAGGAGTTGGGGCCAGTCCCCCGTCCTCTCCCCAGCCCAAGTTGAGGGGGTTAGGAGGGGAGCACAGCTGGAAGAATTTAGGAAGGGGAAGTCAGAATCACCTGTCGGGACTGTGGGCTAAGATGGCATCTGTAGCTCCAGCAGGGACCCTCTTTCCTGGGAGCAGAGACCAGGGCCGCGGAAGCCCTCTGCGCCTTCTAGGCTGCCTTCCCTTCTCTCCCTCACCCCCTTCTCTACCCAAAGCAGTGACTCGCTCCCCACTCCTCAGAAACAGATTTGTTTGGCCCTTTACCCTCCCAGCCCTTTGAGGATCCAGTTTTCTGGGTAGAACCAAGAATCTGATCCTTTCTGGAATTGTACCAAATCCTGGGGAAGTCCCCAGCAGGAGCAGAGAAGTCGGACCCCCTTTCTCTGTTCCAGCCTCACCTGTGGCCATTCTGTAGTTACCCCACGCTGGCCTGTCATCTGCCCTACACTGGGGGCCCCCTCGGACCCTATCTGGGCACATTCTCTGGGTCTCACCTCAGAGAGGCTGCCCCGGTGGTGTTATGAATTCCCCCTCTCAGAATGGTTCACACTTTCTGTCTGAGGGAAGGGGTCACTCTACCTTAGAATAATACAGAATGGTTCCAGCCCACAGAGGAGGGAGAGCTCCAGCCTCCTGAAAGGGACCCTCCAGATCAGTGTCACAGAACATTCCAGAGGCTGAGGGCCAGGTCTGCAGACGGGGATCAAGGCAGGCACGAAAACCCAGCTGAACTCCCGAGCCCCTGGAGATGGACCCTGGGCTCTGGAGAGCGGGGTGATCAGGTAGTGAGGGGAGGGCCCCCAGAAGACTTCTAGAACTTGCTCCCTCATGCCGACTCCTTAGCTGCCCTGTGGTGAGACATTTCCCCCCTGCAGCAGCTAGCTGGGCCTTCCCTCATCCCCCCCCCCCCCCGGCTCCCCCCCTGGGCCCTCCTTCCTTCTCAGGGTCTGAAACCTTCACCTGAAACCTCTGATTGCCTCCAGAAAAGGATGGAGGCTCTGGTCCTTTGTTTCCCTCTGTCCTTTGGGGCTCCCTTCCCAGAGGTGCTCAGCACTGCTGTGTGAGTGTTCAGAGGGCCTCTGGGTAGGCTGCCGGCCACCCCCGGCCTCAGAATCACCCCCTGACCTCTACCGCATTCCCAGTGTGTGTGTGTGTGTGTGTGTGTGTGAGACACTGTGCTGCAGATGGAGGAGTGATTGGATCAAGTGGGGGTGCAGTGTCTGTGATGCCTGGGCCCCAGCCACGTGCCACGGGGCTTCCGATTGGGGTCCCCGAGCCCAGTACGGGGCTGAGCTCTGCCAACGGGTTGCGTGGGGTCGGTTGCTTTCCAGGGTGAGAAGGACCTTCAAGCGTCCAGAACTGCAGGTTTTCTTCTGGTCTTGGCCCCTTGCCTGGGACCAGGAGACATACAGGCAGCTCCTGACACTCTCTCTGCCCACCCCAGCCCTGCAGAGCTGTCCTGTAGAAAGATGCTGGGCTGACTCTAGAATCTGAGGCTCTGGCTTCTGCCCAGCGTGGAGGAGGGGCTGCTGCTAGGCCCGAGGGCAGGTGCAGGCCTGGAGAAGGCCTGTGTCTACCTGGGCCTCGAGTGTGACAAGGCAGGGCTGCAGAAGCCCAGAAGCAGCTGTCCTTGTGTGGTAGGACAGTTCCTTCTTCCTGCATGGACTTTCCCTCTGCAGCCCAGCCCAGTGGGTCAGGGGTTCCCGGATCTGGCTCTCCCGGGTGGGGTGGGGAGGGTGGTGGTGGCTGGAGAGGACAGGGACCCGTTTGCAGAGTGCTGGCCCTGCACATTGTTGTTTCTGCCTTGGATCCAAACCCTCCTGCAGGGTGTGGGTTCCAGGGGCTGTAGCAACGTTCCTTATGTCCACCATCTGCCCTGTGTCCTCTGCCCGTGCAGCCTCTGTAAACACCTGTCCTTGCAGTAAAAAAGACTTAGCAAATAACACAAGTACTTACCATGTATCTATCAAGCACTTCTTAGAAGTCTGGCCCGATAAACTTAATAAGAAAAGAAAAAAGGCGTGCTGTGCACTTATTTCTATCCCTTTGCGTAAGCCTCACGCACACCTTTCATTCAGCCCATTTATCAATGAAGAAATGGAGGCTCTGGAAGTTGAAACTTTGGCCAAGGTCACAGCTCCTAAGCAGCTGAGCGGGGACCTGTATCTAGGCCTGTTTTGGAAACCTGCACTTTTCAGTTAAGCTCTCCACTGCTCCCCCAAGCTCATTTTTTGTCCTTTGGTCTCTGAAGAGGCTCAGAGGTGTGAAGGACTTGGCTCAAGGCCACAGTGCATTAGTGGTAAGGCAGACTACAACCTCAGCCTGCCAGCCCAGAGCTCTTTGTGCTGACCCGAACCCCACATCTCGCCCTGCGCGTTGCAGCACCCTTGCCTGAAGTGCAGGCGCTTTGCTTGTCAGCCCTCTGTGGTCAGGCGAGGCAGGGCTCTCCCTCTGTGGTCAGGCGGGGCAGGGCTCTCCTCTCTCCCTCCCCGCCTCTCCTGGCCCCCACCTCTCCTGATTCCCCCCGTAATTGCTTCCATCTGGCCGGCTCCTATTCCTTTGGAAATGCGGCTCCCTGGCTGCCGCCCACAGGGCTGCAAGGCCTCAGCCGCCCACCGTGGTGACACGTGGGGAAGGGGAGGGCCCCTACAGGTCCCAGAGCTCAGGGACCTGGGCCAACGGTGGCTGCTTCCAGGGCCCAGGACCCGGCATCCCCAGATCCCTGCCAGGCAGGAGCACCTTTGCTTCCGGGTCCTCCTTGACACCCATCCTGGCCTGGCTTCTCCAAGAGCAGCTCTCAGTCCTCGGGGTGAGCTTCCCTTCTGCCTTGCCAGCATCCCCCCGCCGCCCCCTTGCAGGTGGCTCAGGTCTGGGGGAGGGAGGCCTGGTTGGAAGGGACAGCAGGAGAGAAGTGGGGGCCAGCGAGGGCACGCCCTGGGGACCACTGCCGGAGGCTTCTGGGAGGGAAGCGAGCAGGGCAGTCCTGGCGGCAGAGGCTGAGGGACCTGGGAACTCTGGACAGGTGAGCATGGGGCCTGCT